TCTTAAAGTTACTGATGCTTCTGTACAGATCCCTGATTTTTTTTTCCTTATTATTTGTCTCAAGTACAGCAATTTTGCCCTTCAGGTATTCCCTTTTCTTATTCCTAAAGATTCTAGCCTCACATCTCATGTTGCATAGATCATCCGTATTTGTTTTATTTGGGTCCTGCAACCATTAAAATTTTGTTTGCTTCCTTCAATCTATTAATTTTGAACATTCTTCATCAAACCATGGTTTATTCATTAGACTTTAATGTATTGAACACACAACTTTTATGTACAGAAACATTATTCTGTGTGGCAGTTAAAAGGTTCAGGAGAAATATGTATACAGGATTGCAGAGATACGAAGAAGTACACCAGAGAAAAAGTTCTGAAGGCAGAGAGCACCATATCTTAAATTTCTCACTAAAATAACTACTTAACCAACAGACAATTGGATGTAGGTCAATTCAACAGATCAGGAACAGGCAACCAGTTATTCTTTATATAAAAATTTGACAACTGGTGAGTTTATATTTATGCCAGGATATCTAGGGGGAGTATCATGTGCACAGATGTGCATTTGTAGAAATAAACTTGGTGAAAATGGGTAAAACAAGACATTTAGTTTTTAAAATATAAAAGCCAGTACACCTCAGCTAGCAAACCTTGCTGCTAGGAATGTAAATTGAGTAAATAGAATACTAACCATAATAAACAGTTTCTTGTCCTCTTTGTAAGTGGTATCTCCCAATTTTCTTCAGGGGAGTTGGTCAAGTGTTTTAAAATCTTGAGTAAGAAACTAAATTAACCCTCCCGAAGGGGGGGGGGGGTTACTTTAGTGTCTTACTGAAGTCATTTGTTTACTCGCATTGTTGTACCAACACAACAAATATAACGTAACATTGTTTGATGACGTCATTTTTTGATAGACGACAAATCACGAATTTTTATAGATTACTTTTGTACATTTGCAACCAGCCACACGCACTTGGTTTCAAAGTATTCAAGGACATTTGCTGCTCCTGAGTAGCATTAACAGAGAACTGACATTCAATTGGTCTAAACATTCACAATTTTTAGCTGTGCATCCTGATAAGTCAGATAATAGCTGAATGAATGTGAAACATACTACAGTATAATCCTTGAGTGATAAGCTTTTTAAGTGCACTCACAACGCTGTGGAGTGACATTATAAAATCATTCCATCAACCTGTAAACATGCAACAACTTAAGAACAGCTAAATAGATGCAGTGGCATGGAACAGGAAATCATGAGTTATGTTAGTATAGTTGAGATGATAATATCTACTACGAATTTGACTAAATGCTAAAGCTTCATGTGATACGAAAAGATTGGAAGCATTTTTTTTTATTAAACTGAGGTGGAAGAAAGCATTTAATTTCATGATGGAAAGTCATCTTCATCAACTAAAACATGAAATGACGCATATGAATTAAATTTAGTTTTAAGTCTGGTGCAGACAGGCTGGTCTGCACCAGGCTCAATTGCTCTTTTAGTGATCTTTCCACATCAACAGCTGTAGCCTCCGGACTAAAATGGGAAACTAAAAGAGCCTTGGACTTTTCCCTTTTAGAAACAATTGGAAGTGAGACATAGCTGCGCATTCCAATCAAAGGTTGACGGTGCTGCTTAACTGAGGTGGCCGCTGGTGTTATCCCTAACAACGGCTGTCTAGGTTGTCGAACTGCGTTGACCGAAGGCGTCCCGGAAGTGGGCTTCTTTTTATGGCTTACTGTAATGAAACCTTCAGGACCCACACTGGAGACCTTCACAGTAGAAATAGCTTCTCTATATGATATAGTTCCTGAGTCAGGACAAACTACAGACTCTGCAGCCTTCGGTGGCAGCTCATTGCTACCAAGGTAGCTGACCCCTGGATCGAAGGTTTGATAGCATATTGACAGGATAGCGGTGGCCCAGGTGCTCCTTGACCCTAGTCTCAATAGAATGGCTGGTCTTTCCAATGTACAGTTTTCCGCACTCACAGGGAACGCTGTATACACCAGGCATCTTCTCTTAGGACGTTCGCAAACAGTAAGAGTGGACGGGCAACTATCTCATGAAGTCAGGGTAACGTCAGGAGTGCCGCAAGGGAGCGTATTAGGTCCCTTACTATTCCTAGCTTATGTTAATGATATTTGGAAAAACATTGATTCAAATGTACGACTTTTCGCTGATGATTGTATAATATAAAGGAAAATAATGGATAGTAGTGACATTGATAAGTTACAGACAGATTTGAATAGATTATGGGAATGGGTGGTAGAAAATGAAATGAAGATAAATCCAGGTAAAAGTAAAGCAGTCAGCTTCAATAGAGCTAGAGTGAAGAATAAGCTGAGGTACTTTTTTGGGGATCAATTAATTCCAGAGGCAAATAGCTTTAAGTACTTAGGAATACTTATTCGCAGTGATCTGAGCTGGGCAGATCATGTAAATTATACACTAATTAAAGCATGGAAGGCTCTCCATTTAGTAATGAGTATACTCAAAAAGGGAAATAACAATACGAAACGTTTAGCTTATACATCGCTAGTGAGACTGATACTTGAATATGGAGCTGAGTGTTGGGACCCATACAGGGAAGGGCATGTAAGAGCCCTAAATCGGGTGCAGAAGAGAGCAGCTAAATTTGCAAATTTCACGAACGAATCTGGTTGGGAAACATTGGCACAGCGTAGATTGATAGCCCGAATGGGCGCCCTTTTCAAAGCATACACGAGGGTCCGGGCTTGGAAAACGATAGAGGATAGATTACTAAAGCCATGCTACCTGGGCAGGGACGATCATACTCGAAAAATTAGGGCTAGGAAACAAAGAACGGGTGTAGGCAAATATTCCTTTGTAAATAGGACCATAAGAAGCTGGAACCAATTACCTCCAGGCGTGCTAGTCTTTCCCCTGTAAATTAGGCACCTTTAGAAAGAGGGTCAGAAAAGTAGTTACAAGCAAGGGGTTATTAAGTGGGGATTAGATGGTGATAAGGGAAGTGAAGTGTCTCAGTCTCCAAGTGATGAAGGGCTGTAGTTCTTTGGGATAAAATTTTCATGTACTGAGGGCGGACTTTATACAGTAGGGCACCGCTTATACGGCGGGGTAGGGGCCAGACCCCCGCCGTAAAGCGAAAAACGCCGAAAAGCGGGGCTTTG